AAGTTAGCTTGAATGAAAGGGGTCTCTCTCATCCTCAGGGGTGAACACATGACAAAACAACTTTATTTTCTCCACCTGAATGCAGAGACATTTGTCCAAAGTTAATCTAATAATTTCATTATTTTGAAGCATTTCTGTAAGAAATAAAAAGACTGCCTTTTGAGAAAATATTATTCTAGGCGAGTCTCTGATTGGTCTTTGGTGCCCCGTACAGCATCATTAACTAGATCAGGGAAGGGCAACTCTAGTCCTCGGGGGCCTGATTGGTGTCACAGTTTTGCCCCAGCCCGTGCTAACACACCTTGACTCCAATAGTAAACTAATCATGATCTTCAGTTTAGAATGCAATTAGTTTAATCAGCAGTGTTTGCTAGGGATGGAGAAAAAGTCTGACACCACTCCGGCCCCCATGGACTGGAGTTGCCCATCCCTTAACTAGATTTAACCGTGGGCGGATGGTCAGGGGGCAGGAACATAATTACAAATAATTTGTAGACTGCAAATTGATCACAAGAAGCTCAAACAGATATAACATAAAACAATCATTTCAAACCTTTCTTACATTTGTTTATGATCACATATGGACAACTACAAATACCTAGGTGTCTGGTTAGACTGTAAACTCTCCTTCCAGACTCACATTAAGCATCTCCAATCCAAAGTTAAATCTAGAATCGGCTTCCTATTTCGCACAAAGCCTCCTTCACTCATGCTGCCAAACATGCCCCCGTAAAACTGACTATCCTACCGATCCTTGACTTCGGCGATGTCATTTACAAAATAGCCTCCAACACTCTACTCAGCAAATTGGATGTAATCTATCACAGTGCCATCCGTTTTGTCACCAAAGCCCCATATACTACCCACCACTGTGACCTGTATGCTCTTGTTGGCTGGTCCTCACTACATATTCGTCGCCAAACCCACTGGCTCCAGGTCATCTATAAATCACTGCTAGGCAAATCCCCACCTTATCTTAGCTCATTGGTCACCATAGCAACACCCACCCGTAGTATGCGCTCCAGCAGGTATATCTCACTGGTCATCCCCAAAGCCAACACCTCCTTTGGCCGCCATTCCTTCCAGTTCTCTGCTGCCAATGACTGGAACGAACTGCAAACATTTCTGAAGCTGGAGACTCTTATCTCCCTCACTAACTTTAAGCATCAGTTGTCAGAGCATCTTACCGATCACTGCACCTGTACACAGCCCATCTGAAATTAGCCCACCCAACTACCTCATCCCCATTTTATTATTTATTTTGCTCATTTGCACCCCAGTATCTCTATTTGCACATCATCTCTTGCACATCTATCATTCCAGTGTTAATACTAATTGTAATTATTTGGCACTATGGCCTATTTATTGCCTTACCTCCATAACTTGCTACATTTGCACACATTGTATATATATTTTCTGTTTTATTTTTGACTTTATTTTGTTTACCCCATATGTAACTCTGTGTTGTTGTTTTTAATCGCACTGCTTTGCTTTATCTTGGCCAGGTCGCAGTTGTAAATGAGAACTTGTTCTCAACTGGCTTACCTGGTTAAATAAAGGTGAAATAAAAAATTTAATAAACATACCACTCTATTATGTGTAGGAATACTTTGGAACAGATTTCCACAATTAAAATCACTTAGAGCTGATTTGCTGGTGTTTTTAGTCATGTCCAACAATACAAAAATAAAACTGTTGGGGCCAAATAAAAATCAGGCCGCCAGTTGGTGATACCCTGCCCTAGAGGCTCAATACAATAAACTAAGTTACAACTTTGAACAAGAGTTTCCAGTAAATCACTGTCTCAGGCATTACTATCATTAAACTTTTTTGAAAAAATAACAGGCCTTCATTACAGGGAAAGTACTCCAGAGTGTTATTTATGTAAATGAATCACATTAAATCATATAAAGAAAAAAAGCAAAGATGATATCTCCACCATCCTCTGTTGCAATGAGTCTTTTACAATGTGAATTTGGCAGAATCTTTTGTGCAATTTACCTCAAGTCTCTGATTGAGATGAGGTAAACTTCCTGCTGCCTTCACTCTAGTTATAGCATTTATTTCACATGACTCATCAATTTAGACAAGTGTCTGGGTAAGCATCATCTAATAATATTTATACAATATTTTTATCTGGACACTTTCAAAGTCAGATTAGGATATAGGCCAAGGACTAGATAAAGTGCATTTTTACCTGGAGTTTTCCCCTTATACTAGTGTAACTGGTGTGAAATGGCTAGCTAGTTAGCGGTGCGCACTAGTAGCGTTTCAATCGGTGACGTCACTCGCTCTGAGACCTTGAAGTAGTTGTTTCCCTTGCTCTGCAAGGGCCGCGACTTTTGTGGAGCGACGGGGTAACGGTATTTCGAGGGTGACTGTTATCGATGTGTGCAGAGGGTCCCTGGTTCAAGCCCAGGTAGGGGCGAGGAGAGGGACGGAAGCAACACTGTTACACTAGGCTACTACTTTCACCACTTTTAGTCTTGAAATCTTTGGTTGTTTACTACACTACCTTACTCACTTTGTTTAGCACATGGCCTCACATATGAATCCTTAAAGAGATGGGTGGGGCTAAAGCTTAAGAGGGTGTGAACGATGCAGAACAGGTTTAGACAAAGAGGAGCTATCCAGTAGGAGTACCAAAACATTCAAGGCTCATTTTCTTAAAAGTGGGGTTACAAGTTTATCAACTTTCAAAGCAGAATTACTTTCCCATTGTTCCTCAACTACAGTGTATGATATACCATTTTGTAGCTCTGAGTCGCTACTTTTATCCAATGTAAAATAAAAAAACACAAATTTCAAATGTTGCTACATAAGACCAAATCGAGGCAGTTGGTCACATTTGCCCTTTCCCCTTAATAGTTGTGTGGACAGACAGAACCCTACCTTTGTTGTGCCATAGGCTGTGTTTGGCCACCCATTGGCCTGATGGTTTCCCTGCTGAGCGGCAATAACAAACTCCCCCATCAGCAAGCACAGCTCCTCCTCAGAGAGCTCAGTATCACGGAACCTTCAAGACATAACAGAAAAAAGACCTTGTAATACAGTGGTTTATGACTGCATGTGATGATCACAGTAATGGTTTAATTTGAAAATGTTGTGTATGATCTGTAGTAGCATTTGTGTGGACAAAAATTGCAACTGACATAATAAACTGATTTGATTTTCAAATGTTGCTGTTGTGGCCTTAAGTACAATGTTCTTCATATCTGCTAATGCAACAGCTGCTATTGAAGGGATGAATCTGGCTTTCATTCAAGTTGGTCAGGTTTGCGGCTAGACAGATGTATAATGATAGTGTATATTTCTCCCCCAATAGATTACAATTCAGAATGAAGTTAAGCATGAATGGGGCTTTCAATACAGAATGAAGGTCATACTTGGCTTGTAGTTGAGGGCTGCATGTATCAAGAGCCTTCTTGCTAACAAAGCTGGAGACATTCACCACTCTGGCATTTGGTCTGAGGAGGGGTAGGAGAGCATGGCACACCCACACCCAGCGTGCCCCAAAAGTTGGTGCGCATGGTCACCTCAGCCTGTTCTCCAAAAGGCTCAGTTGCATCATCTAGGGAAAAAATGTGATGATCAATTATTGCTTTCTACAAGAAGAGAGAGGGGGAGAGAGTGGGGGAGGTGGCCTATGTCAATATAGGTCACCCTCACCCATCATATTTTCAGAGCATAATTTTCTAATGCAATCACACTGCTACATACGATCATAACTCATGTTACACAAAAGTTGCAATCAACTAGCCCTACTATCATTGCTAGGCAGTTTAAATTGAACAGCTGATTGTTGCTAAACATGGCACAAGATCAACCCACAAACCTCTCACTATCTGGCTACTGTGATGGAGTTATTATACACTGGCCCAGGCGAAAGCGGGTAGGGAGGAGCACAGTTCTCAAATTGAACAGTAATCTGCGCCACTGTCACTTTGTCAACAAGGCAGCATGGTGCATCACCCAGAAACATACATCTCTTTTCCATAAAATAAATGTTTGAATTTTCTAACTACTTTTAATTGGGAAGGCAGATAAATAATCTTATCAAAAGCAATCACTTTTGCATTGTGGTATCTAAGGAATTTATGACTTTGCTAACGGTTGCAAATGGTCTTAGAGGATATTGACTAAGATTAAGGGAGCATTTGGAGAGTAGTTCTATAGGGGCACCCTAAAGCCGAGGAAGTCTATTAGGTGGAGTCCTGGGATTGGTCTGTAGGGGAAAACACCCATATTATGTTACATAGGGCATAGGATAAATACCACGGTTAAAACAGAGGACGGGGAGAATAACATATTACAGATTGGAGCCGGTTATTCTCCAGATATCGGCAGATATCTGTAAATTGACGCTGGAATACTTTGATACAATAAACCTTTATAATCAAAGTACAGTGTCAGCGGAATTCTTGTTCTCACAGCATCTCAGCATAGATTTTCTCGACACCACATAATGGCGACGAGGTATTGGTCGTGTAGTGTCTTTTCTCAGCGTTCCATTCATGGGCGCCGAGCTGACTCTCGCTCCAGAGTCCGGCAGAAAAGGGTGAGTTTTCTTACTACTTTGGGCACTGGTTAGTTCGTGTGTCTGTGTGTGTGCGTTGAATGAATGCACCGTTAAGAAACTTGCGTGTGTGCTTTGCTGTTATTTGCTGTGGGATAAGAGTCCGTTCTAAATTTCTAAATTTGTTTGCGCTGGTAACAACGCAAACAGGGGGGAGTGTCTATAGGGATATTTTGCTTGAATAAAATTAAAAAAGAATACAATGAAGAAAGGCCGGGACTAGGAA